GGATGCTAAACTATCCTTTCTTACTGCTGCTTAGGAGTCCTTTGCAGGGGTTTTTTGAGGGATGATTTGGGGATTTGTTTATGGTGAGTCTCTAGAGCTGGTTTGTACTTTTTAAAGCCAGATAAGCAAAGGGCAACATTTTGTTTTTAATGGCATAAATAGGTTATTGTGGAGTTGCTGCAATCTCTGTGTACCTGTGTGCAAAGTGCCTCACACCTGTGTGCTGCACCAGCCACCAGATTTCCATGTAAAGCAGGACTGCTCCTTTTGTGCCTCTCACAGGCAGAATTTAATTCACCGACATGGCACAGTAACTCCTTCTATCCATTTTAATAGTCCAGTGAAATTCTGTTAGCAAAAGACCTAATGAATGTTGCGATTCAATCAGGGCAATCTAGAGTGTAATGCGTGGAGCCGTGCCAGCATTATATAAATCATTAAACATCAAAATGCAAAAAAAAAAAAAAAATTCCCTAATCATCATCTAACTCCAGGAGCTGCTGGGAATGGCTGGGGCTGGAGGCAGCTGGGGCCAGCATGGGTGCCTGGCTGAGGTGGGACAGTGGCTCACCAGCCTGGTTCCTGTCCTTGCCTGTTGGCATTTTTGGACACACAGATGCTCCAGCATGGAGAGGGTTGTTTGTGTGCTCTGCAGTCCCCCCAGGCCCTTGCAAGTCCTAGAGGGGGAAGCATTTATTTCTTAAAGGGGTGCTTTAAATAAAATGAGGGAGAGCAGTCATTACAGAGACGTTTTCTGTAGGCAGATGAATTTTCTGCTCCAGCTTCATTTACATTGTAAGGGAACTGCACTTCTTCTTGCTCTTTTGGCTTTGGGAGTTCGTGCAACAGCGGTCAAAAGGTGCAGTTATGCTCTAGAAGCCAAGATTTTGTACAGATAAACAGTTTAGAGGTTTGAGGGTTGTTTTTAGTTTTTAAACCAAGTCTCTTGAAAGTCTTCCTAATGAGAAGCAAGTCCAGCTAGCAAAGACTGTGTGTTTGCTTTTGAAAAGATTGAAATGGAGGGAAATCTCTGGCGTTAGCCGTGGGTCCACTCTGCTGGGAGAGGTTATCAGCAGAGAACAAAACCAAAAGTAATTGGAACTGAAATATGGACGTGCTTAAAATGCACTGCAGACTCTCTGGGAGGTTGGAGTGTGATTGGAAAGACGAATGCTAAATACAGAATTATAACATTCCTGACTCTGTGTGTGATAGTATGTATGTGTGTGTCTGTATATATATATATGTGTGTGTGTGTGTGTGCGTATGGATGACTGTGTGAGATTTCAGGGTGGGGTTTTTATTGGCACTGGTCTGATTTTATTTCTGTCTCCTGGTTTAGGATCAGATTATTTTGCTTTCACACTGAAAGCAAATGAAAATGGATGTGGATGCAGTTGTCCCAGCCCTCACCTCTGCTAGCAAACATAGTTTGCACTTAAGAGTCACTTGAATAAGAATGAAGACACAGAATTCTCCATAGTGGAGAAATACTTTTTATTGAGAGGTTGCTGTCTTAGGTGGGTAAATCCTTTGGGGAGGCTGCAGGAGCTCAGCTCTGTGGGACACCCAGCAGCCCACAACCCCCTCCAGCCTGTGCCCATCCCTTGCACGGTGCTGCATCCCAGCTGCTGAGCAGTCACAGGATGTTCTGGCTTGGAAGGCACCCACTAAGATCACCAAAGTCCAGCTCCTGAAAGGGCCTGTTCAGGCCATCCCTGCCTTTTGCTTCCCCAGTGGTTTGTGCTCAGCAAACCCAGCCCAGGTTTCTCAGCTAAATCACAAAGCCTGGCAGCTGTGTCCGGGCACAGCCGTGCAGGAGAGGGGTGTGGGGAGACATTGGTCAGTGAGTGATGCTCAGCTGGACACTCCTGTGGCCACTGTCCCTCAGCCTGGGGCTGCTCCCCCTCCAGGATCCCCTCTGAGAGCTCTGCAGTGGGCATGGCATGGACAGATGGTGGCTGGCACTCAGCTGTGCCCAGCGCTGCCTCCCTGCCCTGCTGAGCACTGGCTTGTATGAGGATGCCTGATTCCCACTTGGAGCCTCACAGCCAGCCTGCTTCTAAAAACAGATTGTGAGAAACCATTGTGTGCAGATATGAGCCCTGGCAAGGTGAGAAATGAGTTCTTTGCTCATGTGTGCTGCAAGTTTGAGAGGGTTTTGGTCTCCCAGGTCAGTCCTGCAGCCTGTCACCTAAGGCTGACTTTCTTTCTTTCTTAAACAAGTATATTTTAAGCCCAAAGCAATGTGTTATCTCTCAAGAAAAAAATAAGCTAAATATTTATTTTTTTTAGATATAGCTAGGAGTTTTTGTCCTGCAGTGCTTGAGTCTAGGGATATTTTAAGAGCTCTGTTATCTTGTGCTGGGAGGGAATACAATAAATATGTAGATAGGGAGTACTGCTGGTTTGAAAGGTATGTAAAGGGTCTGTGCTGAACTGACACTAGCTGAAAAATTTGTTCAGCCTAATTAGCAGCAAATCACTTCTATGTCCAACCTTGCTTGTGGAGATGGGAGCCAATCCCCCCCTGCTTATCCTCTGCTGCCCTTCGTGGGTTTTCAGAGCCCTCCCTGGTTCAGAGGTGAAGGTTTTTGTGAGGACACAGATCTGCAGCCACATGTCATTGCAGGCCAACAAGTGCAAAATTACTGGAAATTCATGGCAAACTGTACACCCATCTCAGGCTTTGTCTAGGATTGCTCAGGCTGTCATCAGAAGCAGTCACGATCGATCAGCTTTTAAATTTAATGAAATTTTAATTAAAGAATGGAAAGCCTACGAAGACATCATATGACAAGAGAGCTGGAAGCAAATACAATTTCACTTCCAACCATTAACCAGAAAAGCAGCAAATGGTTGACTGCACATCACCATTGCAGTCTAAGGAAAGTACAGCTCTTGGCTTCGGCGGGCAGGTCATTAGTGACTGAATAATCAGTGACATTTCCCTTCTAAATCTGACACAAATGAAGTGCAGTGCTCTGGAAAAAGCCATTAAGTGCAAAGCCTCGCCTTTACTCTGCTCCAGGTATTGCAGAACAAGATCTAATGGCAGCCTTTAGCTGTGATTTGGCTTTGATAGCATCCACAGGATAGGAACCCCCAGGATGCCAAGAGCCAAATGCTTCCAGCCTTGCATGAGCCATCATGTTGTGCAAAAACAGCAAGTGAGACTTGTTCTTTGCTGGTGTTTCCAGATGCAGCCAGTAAAAGATACAATAGGAAAATCTATAATGTGGAGTATTGGGAAGCTGAATGTAGCTGTATTCTTATGTCTGAGAGGCAGCAGCAGGTAAAGGTCTCACTCATCGTGGGAGGAGTTTTTAGAGCCTGACATCCTCCTGAGAATTCCTGTGGCAGCTCTCAAAGCTGGGTGTTAACTTGTTTTTCTGCATATTTGAAAATGTTTTTTCGATGGGAGTGGAAAGCGAGCAGCACCGCACAGGAAAAAGGAAGGACTGGTCTTGTTTATGTCTCTGCCTTGAATTTCTCTGAATAACGTGTTGTCAGATGGACCAGTCATCAAATGGGTGTGACTTCCTCTGCTCCCTCCCCGTGTGCCATGGCTTTGAAAATAATGTCAAAAGGTTAATAGGAGCCAGACTGCCTTGGGGGGGGTCCCTTGTGCTGAAGGAGTGAGTGTTTAAGGAGGTTTTTCTTGGGGGAAAGACTGAATAGGGGAAACTTTTTCTAGGCAAAAGCATTACCAGTACCTGGACTGGGAAGCACTGTTGTCTTGGAAACTCTGCACTGAAGCTGGATATGTCTGATTTTCAAAATTCCTTTTACTTTTTCTTCATGGAACCCGAAATAGAAGATTTTTTTATGCAGTCAATGTATCTTTTTCAATTGCTTTGATTTATATTTAGCCCTGTGTTGTGAAGTTCCAGTGCAGTATTTTTGATCATTAACTCTCCTAGTCGTGTTTGGGTTAAGAGTCTACTATTCAGTGGACAAATCTGCTTTGGGTATAGTCTTGTGAGTTATAATCTTACTGAAAACAAATGAATAACCACAGATAAAAGTATTTATAATGAGTAGTTTCATTAATAATGGGAAAAAATGTCCCGGGAAGGTTCATTGGTGGCTCACTGATTCCACTCCCAGCTGTTGTATAGTTAGTTCTGAATGAAAGCTCTTGATAGTTTTATTGCTCTGTTTACAGAGCATGGGATAAGATGTTGTTTCAAAACAAAAAGCTGCGTTACCCTACCAGAAGAGGTTTTTTATACATTTATGGTGCATCCTAAAGGTGTGTGCCCAAACACTCAAATTCATATAAGCATCCAGGCAGTTGTTGCTATGTGATTTTCTTTATCCTGATGTGTTTTGGAGAGGTTAGAGTCCCGAAATCTCTTTTGGCTGTTAAAATTTGGGGTTCTCTTCCAAATCTGGAGGAGGTGCTGTCTGCACCCTCGTCTCACTGCAGGGCAGCATCCCCCCTTGCCAACATCTCTCTTTCCATCACTCGGGATCTTCCAGGAGGTGGTTGTATTTGTGTGTCCAAAGAAGGGAAAACAAGCTGGGGAAGGTTCAACCTGTAGAAAAAGATAGATTGGATATTGGGAAAAAATCCTTCAGGTGAAACCAGCCAATCATTCACACAAGGTGCCCAGGGAAGTGGTGGAATCACCATCCCTGAAGAGATGTAAAAGATGTGTAGATGTGGCACTTGGGAACGTGGTTTAATGGTGGTCATGGCATTGCTGGGTTAATGGTTGGACTCAATGATCTTAGAGGTTTTTTCCAGCCCAAACTGTTCTATGATTCTATTTCTACATGACCCAGAAACCCAAGCTGAAAGAGATAAAATGGAAGTAGCTTTATTATTGAAGTTCTGAACTTAAACTCCCCTCCCCGTGACCCTTTCACCAATGGGTGCGTGCTGGGTCACAGCTCCCTAAATCCATAGTTGAAGGACTGGGGAGGCAAGGGAGGTATGAGTGAAACCCTTCTGAGCACAGAGGACTGAGCTTCTCCCTCTGCTCCATCCTCAGGCGACGTTGTGGACATCTACCAGCGGGAGTTCCTGGCGCTCAGGGACCGGCTGCACACGGCCGAGCAGGAGAGCCTGAAGCGCTCCAAGGAGCTCAACCTGGTCCTGGAGGAGATCAAGAGAGCCCTGTCAGAGAAGCAGGCCCTGAGGGACATAAACCGGACCTGGAGCAGCTTATCTGGTGAATAAACAGGCCTTGAGCATCTGGGGCTGTGTTGGAGCTGTTTCTGATGAGGAGGTAGAGAGGTGTGTGTGCGCAGGGCTGCGGACAGGACCTGCTCTTCTCTCCCCCAGCACGAGCAAATTGTGGAGTTCAGAGAGACTTGGGAGCTCTTAAACTCCTGTTTAATTAGAGGTGCATAAGCATCATTAAACACGGATTTGCCTCTGCCGAGGATATTTGCCAATTTGCTTGCTTACAAGCTTTTTTTTCTCCCTTGCAAGTCATACACTCTGTTTCCTATGGCTGTATTCAACCCATATGGAAAATGGGTATCCAAAGAGAGGGGGGAGGAAGGAGTTAGGCTGGCTGACCACCCCTCACCAATTTATTTGTTCTTTTTTTTTTTTAAGTTGCTCGGTTGAAGAAAATTGGATCTCACAGAAAGATCTGATTTGACCTTCATTTTATCTTCATTCTCCCCTCTCCTTCCCAAATATTTTGGGACTTCTTTAAGGCCCTCCTGGCTCCTGCTGAACTTTAATTGGGTTTGTGGTAGCATGTTAAAGGTTGGCCTGATTTTTTATAACCCAGCAGTAGTCTCGGGTGGCCAGGCTGCTGTAAAAAGGCTTTTTGCCTTGCAGTCTCTTCCTACCTACCGTGCCTTGCAATTGATTCCCTTTTCCTTTTTAAGACGAAACCAAGTTAAAACTGTGGAATATCACCAACAAGAATGTGCTGCACCTTCCCACCATCTTCCATCATTTGCCACATTTGCTGTCAAAGGAGAACAGTCTGCAGCCAGCCGTGCATGTGGGACAGGGGCGCACTGGAGGTAAATGGGAATTAGTGCTGCTTCTGGTGCTCTTCCTCACCTTGGTGCCTGTCCCTCCCCTTTCCTCCTGGCCTGCCTGTGGCACAGAGACCAGCAGGACTGGAGGAAGGGCTGCATGCATCATGCAAGCTTCCTTGGTTATGGTGACATGTGGGGTGGGTGAGCCATGTCACGCCTGCAAGTCTGCAGGGGAGTGCTGTCTGTGCTCTTGACTGGACCTAAAATGTTCTTGATGCTTCTGCCAGATGTTGTTTGCTGCTTTCCATATCCAGAGTGCTCTAGACTTTGCCTGGAAGGGCTTCAGATGAAAGCATAGTTTGTAGGGTGCTTCATGGAGACTGTAATCAAACTAAGGAGACAAATCCCATTGGTAACAGGACTTTGGTTACTTGATGATTCCTCCTGCTCCCAACGCCAAAGACCTGACTTGCACCTGCTAAACTGGAGTGCTTTTGGCCATGGGAGGGGTTTGGCAAACAAGAGGTGGTCTTCAAGTTGCTGTTCACAAGTTGAAAAGGCCTCTGGGAGGGGGAGGGATTTGTGGGGTTTCCTTAGAGATCATTCTTTCAGGGACAAAGAGCAGAGATTATCTGAGTGCCTGTGGCTGCCCTGCCAGCCCAGCACGATGGGTGCTGCTGGCACTGGGCTGAGGACAGGAGTGTGGGAGCCCTGCATAGCCCAGGAACCCACCAACCTGCTGCTCACTGCTGGTTTTTAATGGCAGAGCCTGGCACCGACCAGGTGACTGTCATGGGAGCAGAGCAAAGTGTCCAACACAGCCCCTCTCTAAAATCTCTCCGTGGCCCTGGACAGTGTCTGTCGTGATGGGAATCCCCAGCGTGAAGCGGGAGGTGCATTCCTACCTCACTGACACCCTCAACTCCCTCATCTCAGAGCTAACTCAGCAGGAGAAGGAGGATTCTGTCATCGTTGTCCTCATTGCTGAGGTAAGACAGAGCTTTGCCAGTTTGCCCCCTTTCCCGGCCCCCATCCCACTGTCTGCCAGACTTTGTGCCAAACAGGGTGCTGCCCACCCAGACACCAGCTCTGCCACTTGCTGGGTAGATAAGCCTGGCCTTGGGCTGCCATCCAGTGGGATTGGCAGGTGTGTCTTGCCCAAAATGAGATGCTGGTTGGGCCAGAGAGGATCAGGATGTGAACAGGCAAACATGTCCTGTTAGCAGCTACAGGTGTGGCACAGCTCACCTGAACCATGATGCCTCCTGCAGGGCAATTGAATGGATATCCACAAAATGAGCAGGAGAGCTCTCAGACCTGCTCCTGCAGCAGCTCTGTTTCTCCACATACCTGTAACACAGCACTAAACCCCTCTTGAAACCCAAGAGTTGGTAATTTGGGGTTGAGACTGATATGCCTCTTGGTATTGGTGCCTGGAGCCCGGAGTCAGTTGCTGAATCCAAGGGCTAAAAAGCCTTGATACATTAATCCACAAGAGCTGCTTTTATCTATGGGTTTAGGTGGTTATTTTTCTCCATGGCTTTCCTCTCAGGATTATTTTCTTGAGCCTGAAGTGCATTTGTCTTAATTTCCAGAAATCTGGTGAGAAAGATAAACCTCAGTAGCCTGTTACTGGGAGCGGAACAAAGATGAATGTCTGGGTTTGCTGCCTGTTTGCCCATAATTTGACATTTTGAGTAGCATTTGGCCCTCAGGGCTCTGGCTGGTATTTTGTACAGAGAGAAGGTGTGCACAGGTGGGTGCAGCCCAAGGGCCCAGGACAGAGTTTGGTCCTGGCTGTCATTTGTCTCCCTTGGAGCCAGGACAAGTTTGGTGACTGTTTTTGCAGTGGGTAAATTGAAGCCTGAGAGGTTTTGAGACCCAGACCAGCTCCTGTTTTGTACTACAGTAATACTACTTTAGTTGACTTAAAAATGAGGTGCATGCTGTGATGGCAGCTCCTGATTTTCAGGATGTAGCTATGATAAAGAAAGTGAGCAACAAATAAAGTTGTTGCAGATTCCTTTGGCCAGGTTTGGTCTTGGAGCTGCACAACATCCTTCTGTGGAAGTGTCTGCCACTGCTGTGCCTGCTCTGCCTCTTCCCAAAGTGTTTCTCCATGTACCTGCACTTGAAAGAGCTCCTTGGGCTGGGATAAAGAGTGAATAGTTGAGAGGGTGGAACCTGAAGCAAATGCTGAGTAATTTGGAGACACTACACAAGTGCAGCAACTGAGTGTCCATTCTGGGATAGGGACTTCTCATTCCCAAGTGTCACTGCTGGCCACTGCAGGTGTCACCCACAGTGGCTGGGCTGCCTGGGGGAGCAGGGGCTTCCTTGGCTGCCTGGGGGGAGCCCTGGGGTGAGATGGCTGGCTTGGCTGTCACCAACCCACTGCTTCAGACACTTGGAGTGGAGCTGCATGGTTCCTGCCAAGGCCAGGAGCATCTTTCCTGCTTTTGTTTTTCCCAGTGCTGTTTTCTTGGCACACTGAGGTAAGAAATCAGTCCAGCACTGGGACTCCAAGCCCTGTTTAGGAAAGGGACCTTTTCCTCTCGAGAAAACCCTCCCTTGTCTGTGTGCCAGCACAGAAGCGCTGTGCTCAGCCTGTGACACACATCCCGGTGTCTCATTCTCACCTCGCCTGGCAGCAGCTGCTCCCGGCTTCTGTGGTGCTGCACTGGCAGATCCCCCCAGGACGTGCAGCCTCATGGTCCCTATGGCTGCTCAAACCAGTGCCTCCACCAGCAAAAGGAACAGATTCTGCTCCTGGGTCCCTGCCCTTGTTCAGGGGTTTTGTTTCCCTGTCACTGTGCAGGTGGTTTCTGTCCAGTGCCTGTCCCTGTACCTCACCCGCAGACAGCAGCGAGCAGCTCTGGCCACCTTTGTCTCCCAGATCTTGTGGGTTGCCACACTGATTGTGGGAACAAACTGGGGCTTTAGGGAGAAAAGTGTCAAAATTAACCTGAAATGAAAAAGTTATAAATAGACCCCTCTTTTTCACCAAAGGGTACAGAGGATTCTCTGCCAAAAATATTCTCTTGGATGCAAGCCAGTGTGTGTAGGGAAAAAATAAATAACCCAGAGGTTAAAACTTGTGCAAACACTTGGTGCTGGCAGGGACAGAAGTGCCAGTAGAGCACATGGGAAAGATGTGCAGGTTCTTGTGTCCTTTGGGATGGATTTTGGTGTGTGATGCCTTTGGTTAACACTGACCACAGAGGAGGGCTCCTGGGAGCCTGCCAGCATGTGAGAGCAGTAAAGCTGGATAAAAAGAGACATGAAGGTGAATAAAGATGATGCAGATGTGCTGACAGTACCCTGGGGTGTGTTGAAGAAGATTTCTGAGCCATGGGGGACACAGGCTGAGGCTGAGGGGTCTAACACTGCTTTTCTTTTGTTTTCAGACGGATCCACAGTACACAGCCGGAGTGGCAGAAAATATCAAAAACTTGTAAGCACTTCCAAGTAGCTTCAGTGTACAGCCTGTGCCTGCAGCAAGGCCAGGGAACGGCTTCATTAAGGAGAAACACACTTTTCTGCTTCCCTTTTGTATTTTGTTGTTGTTGCTTAGGGTTGTTTCCTCTTTTTAGACTTTGTGCTGTCTTTGCTAATGCTGCTTCCATTTTCTGCTTGTTCTAAAATGCATCCCGTATGTAGCTTCCACGAGGCTGCTTTGTGCTCGAAGTATTTAAAACACGTGGTCATTTCGCTCTATTTTGCTCCTTCTGCCCTGGGGCATTGTGAGGAGATGGATTGTTTAGATTTACAGCCATCCTGGCAGTTTTTCAGAGTCTGCTGCAGCCCTGTACTTGCTCTGTGCAGTCTGGGCAGTGTAGTAAGCACACACGAATGCTCCTGCCTTACTTTGCTTTAAAATCCGTGATCCATCTTTCTTCCCTCTCCAGCCTGTTTGTTTTCCCCTTGTTCCAGGCTCTAGTTACATTTGTCTCTGGTGCTGGCTGCTATTTATGTCCTGCAGCCTCAGTGGCTTTTGCAGCTTGGGCTGTGCCTGTTTGAGCAGAAGCTGGTGATGGATTATTAACAATTATTAACAATTATTAACCGTGAGCCGCTCCAGGCGCTCACGGCACCAGAGCTGGGAGGCAAAGGGAGAGGAAAGGTGGTGGGGAAGGGGCGGTGACTCCGGTCCGGCTCCTGCGGCTGCTCCTTGCCAAGGGATCGCAGCGGCCGCACGGAGGAGAAGAGAAAGGGCAGCGAGCGCATCCCGGCAGCGCCCCTTGTCCCCGAGCCAATGGTGGCAGCCGGGGGCTGGGACCTGCCCTGTGCTCCCGGGCACTGGCAGGAGAGCTGGAGCAGAGCCCTCCATCTTGCAGTGCGGGAGCTGGCAGGGCTCCCCTCCTGAGCCTGCGGGCAGCAGGACGCGCTCGCCGCGGGATAATGGACTGATTGTCCGATGGCTCCTGATGAAATTACCGGGCGCTGCTGCGGAGAGTGCCTCTGCCTACAAGTCCTGAAACTTTAATTGGCTTAATGACTTGATTTCTCATCATCCCCCTCTCCGGTGCCTCCTGCCCCTCCCTGAGCCGCTGAAATTATTTTTCTTCCTAATAGAATTGAGGTGGTGTGGGGCCAGGGCAGGCTGGGCTTCTCTCGCAGGAGGGAGGAAGCTGCTGCTGCTTTGCTGCGATGTTTTGTCAGCTCAGTGAGAAGCTGCTCTTTCACTGCTGCCTGGAGAAGGGAAGGTTTGAAAATGTTAGCTGAAAGACCTGCCAGTCCCAAGGAAGGAGTAAGGAAGGGAAAAAGGAGTGAGAAGTTTTTGGCAGTGTCGCTGCTTTGTCTCCCTTTGCCCCATCTCCCGTCCTCCAGGCTCTGCACAAACAAAGGAAATCAGCCTTGCACCAAATGTTCTCGAAAAGGCAGGGTAAAAATAACTGGTTTTCCTGCTTATCTCTCACAGTTAGAGCAGTCCCAGGGTATTGCTTGCAAGGCTGATGTAGGTGCCTGCTTCTCAGATGGGTGACATTATTTTCTGTTGGAGTTTGACTCTTTAAAGGTTTCTTAGCCACATTATAAGAAAAGTAGATGCTGATTTTATCAGCATAAGAGAGCTAGGTAGACTTCCTGCTGGCTCTCTGAACTACAGCACAGCAGTGTTTTAAGGAACTTAGCAGAAATGTATAGCACAACCTGGGCAAAATTAATTTTAATTACTGATGCATTTGGAAAATCTCTAAATGCCTGTAGTGCCAAGTCCTTTCTTTGCTGTACCAGTTTGGAGGTCATTTAATCCTGTAAAGAGTACATGGTGCTCAGGGCTGGTCTTTAAAGCTGACCTGTGTGTGTGTGCAGGAGGGAGGAGGATGCTGGTGGGGAGCATATGCACATGGGGTTATTAGAGACTGTGGGAGGTAGAAGACAACTTAAATAGTCCATGTCAAGCCCTGCTGATGTCTTCTGATGAGGCCTGAAAGTGCACTAGACACCAGGGAAGTTATACCTTAGAAGCTGTGTTTTTTGTTAGGTTCTGTGGCTCAGTGATTTGGTCTAAGAGATGTTGTGTCCGACGTGGAGGTATTTGTTTACTGTTGCTTTTCTCCCTCAGATTCCCAAAGGAAATACACTCAGGTCTCCTGGAGGTAATTTCCCCATCTCCACATTTCTATCCCGATTTCTCCCACCTGCGGGAATCCTTTGGAGACCCCAAGGAAAGAGTCAGGTAAGAATGAGTGACCTTACAAACAATCAAGCCCTGAATTAAGGAACTGTAGCAAGCTCCTCACTGACTCCAGCAGGGAAAGCTCTTCTGCAGGGCCAGACAAGGACTTTAAACTTGAATTATCCAAGATCTGGAAGGACACAATTTGGTGACAGGGGGATGAACTGGCACCAGCTTTGTCAGGCTTGGCAAAAGCCTTGTGCTGTTTCCATCACGAAGTGAGGAGCTCATTTTAACCCAAATTATCTTCATTTCAGAAGTCCTTGAGATTTCCAGTGACTCTTAGCTGACCAGGGACCAAAGGCAGAGGCCATCCCCTCTGCCTCCCAGGGCTGTGCCACCTTCCCATCTCCAGCCCAGCCTGGGCAGGCTCCTGGAGCAGCCACCATCCCAGCAGAGACTGATGCTCCCATTGTCTTTGTCTTTGCAGGTGGAGGACAAAGCAGAACCTGGACTACTGCTTTTTAATGATGTATGCCCAGTCCAAAGGCATTTATTATGTGCAGGTGGGTTTGGTGCTGGTGCTGGAGGGAAGATGGATGTACCTGTGAGTTCACTGTACTGGCTTGTACCAGCTGAGAGAGAGCAAAGAGCATATCCAATTCTGTGATGCAGCAGAGTGGGAGAAGGTTTTAACCACATAGGTTCAAAAGCTGGGTTTTTAAAATACTTTTAGACTTGGAAACCTCCCACTAAGGAAAGGCAGAAGTCCTTGTTTTTATTACCTGTTAGATTGAGTGAAAAAAAAGTGCTTGGAGCACCTTCCAGAATAAACTGTGTCTGTGCCAAAGCTCTGGTCTGTGGTGTGATTGCTCTGCATAGAGAGAGGTTGCTGGGACCTGGATGGGACATTGGCACTGTGCCCTTTTGTCTTGCAGCTGGAGGATGACATTGTGGCCAAACCAAACTATCTCAGCACGATGAAGAACTTTGCCTTGCAGCAGCCCTCTGAAGAGTGGATGATCCTGGAGTTCTCTCAGCTGGGGTTCATTGGTAACGTCCTCCCCCACTCACCCCAGTCCTATCAGGCACAAGGCACAAGAGCCTGCTTGCTCTTGCCAGCACTACATTCTTGGCCCAAGAAATTGTCCCCACAAGATGGTAAAATACTTGGACTTGATGGCCTCCTATTTTTGCAGTGACCCTTGTGTTTGCACAGGGGAGAAAGATCCTCACAGCTGGTACTGCTGATGCTCACTTTAAGTAAAAATAAACCTGGTGAGTGGCCCAGCCGACAGCCAAACAGCTTAGATAGGGCCAGTAGCTTTTAGTCTGGATGGGATCTGGATTTGCCTAAGAGTGTGCAAAAGGAAGTTTGCATCAGCCCAGAACTATTTTGGGAACAGCAGTACATGGTTGCAGTAGCAGCTTGATCTGTTATTTTGGATACTGGTTTGATTGGCTTAAAACTTGTAGTTCTCAGGGCAGGAAATGGTCTGTCCTGCAGCTGGCTGCATTTTTCATCCTTGTTTCTCTTTAGTGAATGGGAGAGTTTTAGACCTTTTGATACTGTTGTGACCTGTGAGACTCTAATGCGTTCTAATTCTGCAACAAATATTAAATCCGGAACTGTATTAGCAATGTCAGCAGTGCTGGTACATAAACAGGAGCCACGTGTTGTTTCCTTTACACAGATAGACACAGCTAACCCCCACAGCCCAGTCTCCCATTTTTTACTCTCTCTGCTCTGATTCTAGACCATTTCATACCATAGCTTCTCTCTCTTTCTTTGTGCTCTAGGAAAAATGTTCAAGTCTCTGGATCTGAGCTTGATTGTGGAGTTCATCCTGATGTTCTATAAGGACAAACCCATTGACTGGCTGCTGGATCACATCCTCTGGGTGAAAGTCTGCAACCCTGAGAAAGATGCAGTACGTAAACAGCCTCTGTGGAAGGGAAATGTTCTGTTGTGTGTGGGCAAATGTACACTTGGCTGTGCCTCCAGAGGATCTTTTCTGTGAGCTCTGGTGCTAACTGACTTTGCACCATCCCTGTGGAGTGTGCTGCAGGGTGTCCTTGTGGATTGTGAAAGTGGAGACCTGGGAGTTCAGGCTTTTGTAGCTGCAGCTGCCAGGAAAAGCATTATTTCTGCATCTAAGCACTAATAGGGTATTCCTCCTGCAGCCCTCGAGGACAGAAGTCATTCCCCATTCTTCTGTGTTGTTTTGCATTCTGTGCTTCTCTCCCTCAAACCATTTCCCACTCACTGACTGCAACCCCAGAGTGACCCTTTGACTCTGGATCCCTGGGCTGTACCTGCCTGGAGCACACAGGGGGACTGCCCAGAGAGCTCACCCCAGAGCAAACCCTCTTTGCACAGTGTGCCAGAATGAAGGCAGATCACACAAAGCTCTTGTCAGGATTTCCAGGAGGGTGCAGAGAGGTGAAATGGGCTCTGCTTTTGTGCTGCCATTCCTTTTGCAGAGCCATAAACCCCTGTGCCCTGTGGAGGTTGTGTTTGAACTCCAGCAGCAAGGGGCTAAAGTGAGTGGGAAGGGCAGAGGAGGAGCGTCTGTGGCAGCAGATGTAAGATGAGCTCAGCGCCAGATACTCTCCTGTCTTCTCTCTGAACATACTGTATTTACAAATGCTTGCTTGCCCTCCTCCCCAGTAGAGAACAAGCAGCAGAGTCGCTGTGCAGAGCTCAGAGCCAGTGGCTTAGAACAGACTTCATGGTGACAACCATGTTGTGGTGATAAATGCCAGAGCAAGTGGTCACTCTGGAAATTAGTGTTGTATTTATGTGCTGGGGGGATGGACCATCCTCAGAGCTCTGCAGAACTGGGGCAAGGGTGTGGTTTAATTTGGCCTGATCCCTGGCACAGGACATGGCATTGGCTCCAGTGCCCCTTGTGCAGCCGGACCAGTCTCAGATGATGTCCCCTGAATCCTCCTGGCAGTTCAGGCCATGTGCTCAGCTGGGACAGAGCACTCCCCAGGACTGACTGGCAACCCCACAGTCTGCACAGCTGTGGGTAAAGCTGGATGGGTGGGGTGCTGGGATGGAGCTGGGAATGATGCTGCTCTCTGTGCCCCCACCTTCAAAATCCTCAGCTTGAGCACTGATTAAATGCAGATCCTGCTGCGCTGGATCATCTTCTCCTTAACTCATCTGTGCTCATCTTTTCCTACCTGATGGAACCAAGGTTTTCTCAGGGGAAATCGCAAACCTCTTAAACATGTTGCCTTTTTAAAAATTAACCTACTTTCCATGTGGATTTCTGGCTCCTTTCCCCCACTGTTTGCATGATTAACTCTGCACAGCGCCCTTTCAAACATGACTTTCTCTTGTAAATCCCACTGTGCAAAATCAAATTGGTAGCAGGGAGGATTTGTCTTTTTGATTGAAAGTTTGTTTGACCTGAGCTTTTGGTAAGTGCTTTGCCTGCTCTGGGTATATTCTGCTCTTTCTTTTTTAACTAATTTTAGATTTACCTGGGGTAGACCTGTATGAAAGGATGACCTTCTTACCACCAACTGAGCTGTTCCCCCTCCTGGCTTGTCTGTGACAAGGCTGCTTTCAGGAAACATTTCTTTAGGAGTGCAGGAAAAGGGGAGAAAGATAAATCAGGAGATGCTGTAGCTGCCTCCATTCCCCTTCCTCCTCCTCTCCCCATCCAGAGTAAGATAGCCATGATGGAGTTGCATCCACAGTTGCTGGCAGTGAGTAGGTCTGTCCCATTAGCAGGGCTAGTTTTAATTTTCTAATGTGACGTGAGCTGGATTAGGGGATTATCTCTTTTGCAGCTCGCAGGGGTCATGCCTGGAATTTCCCAGCTCCTGGCCCGTGGTGGGGCCTGGTGTGGCACCCTGTCTGTTCCAGGCAGCCACTGCCAGGTGGGAGGCTGCAAGAGCAGATGGCATTAGGGATGTGCATGCATTTCTTTTCTTGGAAAAAGCCAAAGTTGGAGAACAAATACCCTATCCATACAGCTTTTAACCTGTATTTTTGTCCTGCTCCCCCAAACTGAGAGAAATGAGCTATTTTAAAATGTGAGTTCTCATCTCCCCACGCTCTCAGTGATTTTCCCTTTTGTCCTGTATTCCCTCTCCATCGTCTCTCTCCCTCCACTTCATGGTAAATCACTGCCAGGATCACAGTTGCATCTCCAAGTTTATTTATGTGGTGGATAGGCGTGAAACAGCCCAGCAGCTCTGACGATGGCACGTGCTGTACATCTGCTCACAACTCCTGCCAGCAAGCTGGGAACTGCCCATCCAGAGAGAGCCCACACTTGGTACCTGTTCACTCTGAGGCATCCCAGGATTGTTTTACCTTCAGACATCAGGGATTCCAGGCTCTGAGTTGTAGGAAAAAGGCTTTCCCAATAAGCCAAGGGGCAAAGGAAACTCAGTTCTCTGGCTGTTCCTCCCTGACAGCACAGAGGGGATTTGCTCAGCGTTCTTAGCTGTGCTTGGCAAGCAGAAATTTGGCATTTAAACCTGGACCCTGCCCAGCAGAGCCTGGGGGTTGAGGGGCTGAGACTCACAGTCTGGTTTCTCCAGAGCGTGGTTAAAAGCCCTCTTGCCAGATTAGGGCCTAAATACCACAGAAGGGCATAGAGATGGAGGACTTGGCTGTCCCTCCTTGTGCCCTTGTCCATGGCTCTGTGGGGCACAGTGGCCTGCAGAGGTTGGAGCCTGGGGCACTGTCTCATTTCAGAAACACTGCGACAGGCAGAAGGCAAACCTGAGGATCCGCTTCAAGCCCTCGCTCTTCCAGCACGTGGGAACCCACTCCTCCTTGGCTGGGAAGATACAGAAGCTGAAGGTGGGTACCAGCTCTCTGTCCAAGGTGCAGGTGGCCTGGCCTGCAGACACCCAAGAACAGGCTGCTTTTGGGTGGGGACATCTGTGACAGCAGCTGTTGGCAGCTGGATTTCTGTGAAGTGGTTGTGTTTTATTCTGAATTACAGTGAGCTCAGGTAGCTGCTGCTCCTCAGAATGGCAGTGACATGCACCAAGAGTCACTGCAAGATTATAAGCCTTGGTACCAGTCCTGGCCACCCATCCTGAGTGCCAGGCCATGGTCCAGGCAAGTGACTTCGAAGAATCTACTAAAAAACCTTAGAGAGATGGCTCCTGGGTTGGTCTGACTTCCTTCTCACTCCACTTCATATTCCTGGGATTTGGTGATAGGCAAATTAAAACTCACTGTATAAGAGCTGGAATTGTTGAGGTGTATTTAAACATGAACAAAATGCAGCTTCCCACAAGTACAAGTGCAGAATCCATGGACAGACATCCCTGGGCTGTGCTGTCTGTGTGATCCCCAGGGAAATGGATGGTATAATCCAGTTTGTATCACAGTGCAGTGCTGTCAGGCCATGTAATCCAGTCATTTTATGCTATTGTCAGCCTCCCAGCTGCTTTCTCCTCAAGTGTAGAGACTGTTTCCAGAGCTTCTGGGGCATGGACAGGCGTTCAGGGACATTTGGACATTGAAAGGCTCCTTGGTGTGCTGGATCAGAGCACAGAGCAGGGGTGTTTCTCTGAGCTGCCTCTCCTGAAGCAGTGTCTGGGATCCAGTCACACATTTCCCTGCCTGGTGCCTTGCCAAAATTACTTCCATCTTTCATCCTTTCACAAAATTTTAATTTGCAGTGCCTTGTAGCTGGGGCCCTGGTTCCTCACGGGCCAGAGCAGCTCATGGCCCTTCTCTGCCCTTTTACTTTGTGCCCTTTCAAGGACAAGGACTTTGGAAAACATGCACTGCGGAAAGAGCACATCAACCCTCCTGCTGAGGTGAGCACCAGCCTGAAAACCTACCAGCACTTCACCCTGGAGAAGGCTTACCTGCGGGAGGACTTCTTCTGGGCCTTCACTCCCACTGCCGGCGACTTCATCCGCTTCAGATTCTTCAAACCACTCCGAATTGAAAGGCCAGTGCTCGAGGGGTCAGCGGGGTGTGGGGGCAGCCCAGAGCATGTGGAGACACTTGACTTTGGCTCTTCTGGCAATTTGAATCAAATTTCTTGCCCGTCTCCTGCTTGGCTGCCCAGGAGGAGGGAGCAGTGCTCTTCCAGGGGAAGGATAATTTGACCCTTTCTTAGTGGGGCCACCTTTACCAGAGTCCTTTGCTTTCCTGCACTGGTGAGCAGTCCATGGTTTAGCTGATCTGGCACAGAAGGTCTCCTGCCAAATCATGCTGTGGGCTCTTTGGGAAGGTGCCTGTTAGGTTGAGCTGTTTGATGATTCAGGGGGGGTGAAAGCCATCGTGTGCCCCCTGGCTCAGTGTGCCTTTCTGTGGGTTTTCTCTGTCACAGGTTCTTCTTCCGCAGCGGGAACATCGAGCACCCAGAAGACAAACTCTTCAACACGACCGTGGAGGTGCTGCCGTTTGACGTAAGTGTTTGATTGAGATTTGAGGTGAGGGTGGAGTGGGAAGCAAAAGGGCTTTGAGAGGAGGGAACTGCTTAAAGCCATCAGGAAAATCTTAACGAGATTCGAGTGCCTCTTACAGGTGCTGGCAGGGAGCCAGAGGGTCATGCCTGGTGTGATGCCACCTCGGGAGCTGGGTGCTGTGCTGAGCACGGCTGAGTGAGCCATCCCTGCCTGGAGATGCTCCAGTGGGTGGGATGAAGCCAGAATGGTGCAGTGGAAAGAGCAGCGTGAGGACTGCAAATGTCCTCTTGTTTTGGGCATGTGTCTCTGGGTGCCAGGTGTGGGATGAGATGCCAGGGTTTGCTGGCAAGGACAGCTCTGGGGTTGCTGCTTTTCCTTGGGGCTTTTGGGTGACTCTTGCCTCTGGTCTGCACAAAACTCTTCTCCTTCTGCAGAGTCTGCAGTCAGATAAGGAAGCCTTGCAGGAGGGAAGAGGCACAGCTGTCAAATACCGCAGGACAGCAGATGGCTACGTCCAGATAGGTACAGGGGGAGTGGGGTGGGAAAGGGCCTGCTGGCTTTGATAACACAGCCCCTGTCCTCACCTGCATGTCTGTCAAGAATCTTAGAGCTGTTTGCTTGGCAGAGAGTAATTTCTGCTTGCCAGGAGCCGAGATTTATCATTGTCTCCTCTCCTCCACTGCCCTTGCTCTCAGGCCAGGTTGTCCCCCTCAGATCATTTTCAGTCCTGCATTTCTGCCAGTCCTGCTCAGAGCAGGGACCAAATGATGCTGATTATTTGTTTGCTTACCCTGGGGTTAAAAACCTCCACCATGGGCAGTTTTGCCATCTCTGTACTCACACCACTTGCAGGTCAGACCTCGTCTCTTGCCACCTGAGCTTGTTTTAGTGCTTGCCCTTGGACAAGAACAAGCAGTTGCAGCCTCCAGAGAGCTGCCAGTGTGTGATAGCCCTGGTGTCCCTGCTAAGATTTCAGGGTTTTTTTAATAGACAAATAAGAGAAAAATTTCCTTACACATGCAGTGTTTTGCCATTTTCTCATTCCTCTGCATGCTGGCTGGTTTCTCCCAGTTGCATTTTCAAAAAAAAAAATAATCAAAACCAAAAAGCATGTCAGGCCGCTCTGTCCCCTTTTGCACAGCAATGATATGTTATTTGATATATATGATATTTGCAGATACTCCCAATACATTTTGTTTTGTTTACCTGATTTGTGTTCCCCAAAGTGTGGCATTTTTCCCTGTATTCCATCCACACTGCTGGTTTTTAGCCCGTTTGGTGTTGGGTGCTGCAGGCAGGGGCTGCTGGGGCTGTTGGTGGTGCCCTGTGGGAGAGGGGAGGTGGAGGGGCAATGCCAGAGGACCATCCCTGTGGCAGCCACGTGCTCTCCCCACCAGGCTCGTTCTCCAAGGGCGTCGCAGAGGGTGAGGTGGACCCATCCTTTGGGCCCCTGGAGGCCATCAGGCTGTCCATCCAGACCGACTCCCCGGTGTGGATCATCCTGAGCGAGGTAAGCCAAGCTCCCCCAGCACCTCCCCAGCCCTGCCCTGCTCATTGCTCTGATCCCATCCCGCTCTTCTTTCAGATTTTTATCAAAAAAGCAGAGTGAAACAGGCATGGGGCAGAACGGAACCCTCGTGGATCCCTGGTCCTGCTCCCCCCCTCCCGCTCCCTCCTCCCCACGGCGCCTCGCCCGGACCAGGACAGCGCAGGGCCAGCAGAGCCGCTGCTGCTGTGCATCCCCAGCGGGGCCAGGGCGGGCATTGACTCCTCCTGAAGAGGAGCAGAAAGCAGAACCCAACCCCCTGTGCAGAGGGGGGGCTTTGCTCCGCTCCCTCGGGGTGCTGCTGCTGCTCGGACACACGGACACACGGACAGTTTGGGGTCGGGATGAGCTTTGGCCAGCGTGGGGACAAAGAGCACCTTCAGCCCCAGACAGGGCTCAAACCTTTGGCTGTGTTTGGGGACAGAGCAGGTCACACCGAGTCCTGCCAGCTGACCCCGCTGGCGCGCTGGGATGGAGGCGGCAGGGCCCGAGGTCTGCCTTGCCCTCTCCCAGGCAGCAGTCCTGGCCACGGCCGAGGATTAAGTGAGGGCAAAGACTGACCCTCCTTCAGCAGAGGAGGAACGAATCCAAAGGGGTTGGAGCTATGATTATGGCAGGGAAAACAAAAAAATAAAATATGCCACACTGTGCCTGCCAGCATTGAACACAGCCCCTTAACTCACAGTGAAGTCTCCAGTGTCTTCATGCCTTGAGATTGAGTGCAGAAACTGTCTTTTAAATAACTAATTCAGTTATTGATTGATGTGGGTTTTTTGGGGACGGAAAAAAAAAAGCAGAGGTAGCCCAGTTCAAAAATAGTAGGGATTAGTGTAAATCCCAATGTCCTTTCAGCTATACACTGGAATGCATTATACTACTTTAATGTTCTGTATTTTTTATTATTGGATACATTTGATTTTTCAAGTACATCTCTCTATATAAATATATAAAACAATGTGCACTGTAATAAAAGCTAAATTTAAACCTTTGGTGCGGTAGTGAGAGTCACTTGCAGCTGGGCTGCTTTAGGCACCTGTGAACCCCAAGTTCACAGTGGAGGGTGAAATCTAGGGAGGGCAAAGTCCTTTTGCAGAGTTGGTGATAAGTGAAGCTGGGTTAAAGTAAAGGTCATTTAATCAATGCCAAACAGACTTTAGTACTGGGCTAGGGTCAGGCTTTTCTCCCAATATTTGGATGTGGTTTTAGGCAAGCTTACCCATCATTTTCATTTAATCACAGCAGCTTTTCCTATGAAACCCAGTCCCCAACTCAGATGTTCTCACACCAGTCTCTGAGTGCCTTTGACAATCACAGGTGATTTCTAGTGAGAAAAAGAATTTATTTTTTTATATCCATGGTGTGATTCTTCAACATAGATCATTACAGCAGTAAGGAGGAGAGACGACAGCATGTGGGTCAATCTGTGCTCCGTGAGGCAGAGCCAGAGGCATTTTAGAGCAGACAGTGCTACAAAGCCCAGCAGTGAAGCTCCTCAGCAGGGGCAGGGGCTGGAAAGCATTTGCTTTCTAGAAGGGAAATTATCTCTGAAGAGCAGAGGAGTGCCAGCATTCCTTCTGCAGGGAACGCAGAGCCAGGGAAATATTCTCTCTCAGATGGTGCCACATGACTGGTTCCCCTGTGCTGGGGGCAAACAGTGGGTTTGGGGGAGCTGTGGCCCCTCTCACCAGGCCCCATGGAGCTGGAGAGGCCGCACCAGTGCTGCCATCCATGTGGAGGAGCTGGGCCTCAGGAAGTGTGCCAGGAGCCCAGCCAGTGCCAGCCCCAGCAGCACCCAGAGCAGCCAGGCACTGGCATACAGTGGTCCCAACCTGGGGGGGAGAAAACACCATCAGGCACTGCCAGCCTGGCCAGGGCACTGTGGCAGGGCTGTCCCCACCCCAGTTTGGGACAGTCAGAGGTGACACAGCCACGAGCACATGGGGCAGGAGGGGAGGAGGGGGAGGAGGTGACAATCTGCCCGCAGTCCCAGCCACAGGGAGGGAGCCTGTTCCAGCTCCTGCCCCCACCCCAGGCTCCCTGGGCAGGTTTGGGGTTCCTGTGGTCCTGTCAGGTCCTTACCGTCCCCGTGCAGCCCCGGCGTAGCCCTGGAAGTACCTGAGGCGGGTGTAGAGGTAGAGCAGCCCACACACTGCAGTCACACCTGGGACAGGGACAAGGGAGCTGAGCTCTGCTGGGCTCAGGGTCCCTGACACTGCATTCCAGCACAGCCCCCCAGCAGATGGGGCATCACCAGAAAACCAGAGTGATTTGGCTTTAAACCACTGTGGGAGTTTAAATGAGTTTTCTTCCTTCCCTTTTTGTGAGGGATGAACTCCTCTGCCCCACAGAGTTGGCAGTGCTCCCTTACGTGGTTTCTCCTCACAACTAAATGGTTGCAGCAACCAAATCCCCTGAGCTCACTTGGTTGGGATGGACAGTGGATGAGTAAATGTTTGGGTTATGGTTTCTTGTTGTGACATAGCTCTGCCTCAGCTGCTGCCACCCTGGGACAGCCTGACCTTGTCCAGGAGAAGCAGCACGAGGGGACAGCCAGGCTCCAGCAGAGGAGCAAGGGCTGCCAGAGCTTCCTCCTCCAGGCAGGAGTGGGCTCAGCTGCTCCCAGCTGGAGCTGAGGCACTTCTTGGTCAATCCAGCTAAAAGGGAAATTTGCTTTCCATGAACAAGAGCCTCACAGGCACAGAGAGAATGCCTGAGTCACAATGGGATTTAAATTGGGGCTGAGGTTTTTTGGTTTGTTCACATGGTTTGGGTTGGAGTTGCCCCCCACATCTCTCTTACCTTGATGGAAGAAGATTCCAGCAACCCAGAGGAGGGAAATGAAGATTGGGAAATACTCTGAGCAGTTTGCCCTGGTGAGAACCAGAGATGAGAGTTAAAACTGCCTCCTTGAACAGCAGAGCCTGGCTAACCAAGGCTGGAGAAGGGAATTGGAAACTCACATTGGAGCAAACTAAAAGAGCTGATGAGAACCATCACTGTGCTGTGGGAAAGGAGCCTTTTCTGTGATCAAGCACACCCAATATCTGTATTATAGAGAAAAAAGCAGCCAAACAACACATAGCATTCACCTCTCCTGCATTCACATGGCCCTGGAACGACAAGCTGTGGCTGAGATGGAGATTTGTCCCTGCTGGACCCTCAAACAGCACCATCCCAGAGAGTTGCTGGGGAGAGCCTTGTCAGCATTTAAGGAACTTTCTCTTCCCCTTGGGTGAACACAGCCCAAATTTGGGTCACACAAGTCACACACCAAGAAGGAGCCTTCTCTCAGATAAAATTCAGCAGGAGGTGATCAGATCTACAGCCAGGTTTTCCTTCTTTTTCCTTTAGTGACAAACATACAGATTTTCTGCAAGAGTAGGAGCTGTGCTATTAAAGACATTGGTTTTGCTTCTCCCACATTTTACCATTCCCTAGGCAATTTAATCTTAATGTTGGCCAAAAATATACAAACCTTTGGAGAATGGAGCCAGACTGGGAGCTGGAAAAAGTCTGAAGAACCTTATTCTGTAAATGCAGTTTGAGCCTCAGTGAGGGGAGGCTGCCAGGTTTCAAGTGAGTAATGCATCAATACCACTTTTTCCCATGTATATTTTTCTCAATATATCAAATTATTCATTTGTATACTCCTCCACAGGGAAAAGAGAAGACAAACCCACAAAGAAGCAACATTTCAAGTCCAAACTCCCCGAGGTCACCTTCCCTGCCACAGCCTATGGCATGACTTGGTTAACACACATTTAATAGTTAAGTATTTAATTAAAAGCCACATCAGCAGCTCCCCAGCTCGCAGAGGCTGACGTCTCCAGGCAGGCTGGCCCTCCATGGTCCCACAGAAGGACTGGAGCTGGTGTTTTTGTCACTCCACAAACGTTTCCTGTGTGCTGGCAGGGAATGCAGCTGCTTTGTTCGGGATTTAGTGCCGGGCTGGAATTACCCTTCACACCAGCTCCAGCCAATTCCTTTCAATGGCTCACAAAACAGAACGACTGAGATGAAAGATGGAATCTGGTGCTTGCTGGAAGCTGAAGGGATCTGTGAACGTTTCCAGTTTAGCTCCAGCATTGCTCTCTCCATAGGAACAGAGCAAAAAGAAACAGCCCTCAGCAGGGGCCCACGAGTGCTGATTCTCACAGTACAATGGCTTCTGAAAGGGAAAAAATTAAAATGCCCTTGTAGCTGGTTCTGTCAGCAAGGCCCTTTGCTTCAATTCAACAGCAAAACATTACAAGAAAATATCAGGTTATTAATAAAGCTTTGGCTGCTCTCACCATTTGGAGCCAATGGTAATATTAAATTTAATGATTCTAATTGTGAATGCTCTGCACCTCCTCCATACGGCCACTAATTTGTAATTTGGCTGCCTCACAATGCCAGAAGGAGAATTATCATGGATGGACAGAAACACCCCAGTCAAAGTGCTCCAAATCAAAACGCAGACCTTTGCACACAAAGCATTGAAAAATAATAATAACAGTAGCAGTAAGTGGAAAGGTGATTGAGGGAGATCAGTCTCTCCCAACAGTGACAGCTGACTCAAGTCTTATCTAGACAAAGTCACCACAAAAACTCAAAATCTTACTGAGCTCTGAAGGTCCGCTCAAATTCAGGGTGCCCTGTGGTGTCGGGAGGGGAAACCTTGTACTTCCGACGGGCGTAGATCACCTGCATTGCAAAATAGGCTGAAAACAGAACACAGGAGTGGTAACAGAGCAGCAGTGTTTATTTAGCCAAGTGTTACCTGGCTTGGAATCAAACAAGTGGTTAGAATGAAAGAGCTGATATGATCTAGGTCCCCAGTCCAGGGCTGTCACACGTGACCTGTAATAAATGTGCCATTTATTTCACTCTCATGCTTTAAATTCAGGTTTGGTTATCCCAGCTGAGTGCCAGTGCTGGATGACACTTTGCATCATCTCACACCCAGCAGAGCCCTCAGTGCTGCTCCCTGGCAGATCAAACACACAATAAAACCTTACCACATCCACACTGAGTCACAGAATTACCTCTTAATCTTGCACTTTGTGTTTAGAGTACTTGTGCACCCTCAGCCAGCCTGGTGGGAATGATGTGCAACACCTTCTGCTATTCCCAGTGGGTGCAAAGTACAGCCCATGTCACAGGGCAGCATCCACACTGTCAAGCACTGGGACAGTCAATTAGAGATGCTCTTAATTATGGCAATAAAAGGAAATGGGGAAGAGGGTGATTATTTCTTGCTCTTCACTCCTGCAGGACAGCCCCAAGGCTGTCAAGGAGCAGAGGTGCTGCCCATGCCTGCTATCAGCCTGTGCCACATTTGAGCCAAGGCACTGACTCAGTGTCTGCTACATCAGTCCTTTGTACATTTGTAAAGGACATGGAAAGTCACTTCAAAACAATGAAAACTTGCTAACATGAAGATTTGGAGTGTTTCACTATTTATTGAAAGCTCCTACTCCCACAGGCAATTGCTGATGCTCTGTTTTATTTGGGTGCAATACTACACTGCTGCCTTCATTGAAAACTCCTATTTTCATATAGGAGAAAACTAAATTATAAAAACAATTACTTTGGTGGCTGTGGTGTGTCACTGAGACACTTGAGTGAGCAAAGTCCTCACATAGCAACATTTCCAGAGCATCCCAGAGACACAAGGAGCCAGGGTGCAAGGCCTGCCTTGGGGACTGTCCTATTGTAACAAAGATAAAAGCAGAACAGCAGGACAGAGAAGGGGAAGTAGGGACAGATGTTCCAAGATTAAAGACAAGACATGTGCCTGCAGAAAAGCATTAGAACATATGTAGAAGGGAATTAGAAATGTAAATAATCTGATGCTATGTGACTTGTGTATCACAAGGTTTTACTAACAAAAATAAGTAATTCCTTTCAGAACACATATAAGAACAATTAAGCATGTTCTAGTACCTTCCACAGACACCCAACCCTAAACAAGAGGTGCTGACAGAGCAAAGGGGGGGGAA